TTTGATGGAAAAACTAACGGTGACCCATTAAGTCACACCATGAGGAGGTTATATATAGGCATATTAAGTCAAACCATGAGGGCAAAAGGTAATTTATCTTAATTATTATTTTGTTTGCTTAAAATCTTTGAGAATTTGGTCAAAGTCCAGAGACCACAAAGTGATCATTTCCATACTACTTATCTGGCTGGTTGGTTTAGTATGGAGGAATATGTGTACTGGATGTCCACCTCAATAATCAGACTCGGTCATACATCATGTAATTGGCCGCGAATTGGATTCTTTTCTTTGCATTTTAACTTGTGAAAATTGTTCAAATATTCGCTCATACTTTAGGAAGTTTTCTAAAGCATCAGCCAAGTGGAGAGAAGGAATTTAATAACTCATATCTTAGACCGTACTCTTCCGTTAGCCCCCTATCCCATTTATAATTAGTTTTCACACTCAATGTGTCTTGGTTATGTTTCATGTGCAAGATTTAAGTGGTGAAAAAAATTTGAAGAGTTTTGTTTAACTGAAGTACAATATGCTTTTCCCAGGGAAGTTGCTTGGCCTTTTACTGAAAAAAATTTCCCGGCTCAATGCTGGATTCCTTTTTTTTTTTTGGATAAAAAACAAAAAAGCCCTCGTGGTAAATCTAATATACAGAAAAGTCCCCATGATTTCAAAACGTACAACACGAGATTTCATATTTTGAACTAAATTGTAAAAGTAACGGAATCCGATAAACTTAATGGAAATGGACAAAATGACAAAAATGCCCTGATATAATTGAGCAAAAGACAGCTCAACAAAATCATTTATTTTATTCTCTAGAGAGAGACAATTAAGGGCTAAGGGGTAGAACAGGTATATTTGTTAAAATTTAGGTATAATTTTTTTTTTTAAAATTCCAATAAGTCATTTCCGTTAAACTTAACGGATTCCATCACCTTTACAATTTAGTTCAAAATATGGGGTGTCGTGTTGTATGTTTTGAAATTAAGAGGAACTTTTCTGTATATTAGCTTTACCACAGGTTTTTTTTTTTGGCTTTTACCCTTTTTTTTAAGTTGCTTGTTTGTGTTATCATCTCCATTACTTAAAACATATATTATTTGTTTGGGCAAATTACATTTCACCCCCCTGTGATTTAGCGTTTTTTTACATAACCCCCTTATAGTTTCAAAAGCTATACATAACCTCCTCATGGTTTGGATTAAAGTGTCAAAGTGACGGAAATAGTCATTCGTAACGAAACTTCTAAAAATGTCAAAATTACCCTTATAAATACATGACACACTAACCCCCCTTATGGTTTAATACTTTACCATACAACTCCCTTATGGTTTTCAAAATATACACATAACCCCCCTTGGTTAATAAATAATTTTCAACTTTACATAAGGGTATTTTTGACATTTTAGGTGACTCCGTTATGAATGATCATTCCTGTCACTTTGATACTTTAATTCAGACCATAATGGGGTTATATATAACTTTTGAAACTATAGGGATTATGTAAAAACGCTAAACCACAGGGGGTAAAGGGGAATTTGCCCTATTTGTTTTGAAGGGACCAAAGTCCTGCATTTGGTTTTGTGAAAAAGAGACCTCCTCCACAGTTTCCCATGTGCATTGGATTTTGACTGTTGGCTAGCACGTTCAAACTTCCAAGTTTCTTAAACACAAGTACCTCCAGGAATAGAGAAAATACCAAATTGAGGGTCGACTTCTACTTTGTATATTATCAGCAATCAGGTTTGGTTAGGCAGAGCCAAAGAAGAAGGAAGATTTTCAGCAACTAGTAGGCATTGTTCTGAAGCCGCGGATTAAAATGCATACACAGAGTCATGCCAGCAAAGAGAGAATATCTGAGAGCATTCCAATCAAATATCAGAGGATAAATTACATACAATCCCCTTGTAATTTTGAATAATACCACATTCAAAATAGTCATGCAAAGCAACAAGACGTTCAATTCCATCTGTATATATATGGCTATAAGTGATGTCCTGAATCGAAAAATGATGGAGGAAACTGAACTGCGACATGGACCGATAAGAATCAGATACGTGATAATTGTTGATTTCTTGCAAAATGGCTACCCAAGATAATCTTGTACATTTGGTTATTTGAAACAGGACATCGATAAACATCAAACCAAAACGCGAATCCAAGTGCTATTAAACAAGAATCACATTTTGTCATGGAACTGAAATGTTTCCTTTCCCACTTTACTTCCTACATCGCCAAGGTGTACGCAGCCTCGAGAAGTACGAGGATATATATATATGTGTGTGTGTGTGTGTGTGTGTTTGCTGAGAAACGCAAGCCAAACCAGTACTGCCTCATTCATAAATCATAACTCCTTAGTCCTCTCCTTCCCCACCAAACCAAACGAAACCAACCAAAACCTACCCATGGCTTCATCTGACAAGCAATTTATATCTATATAGCGGCCACATACGTACGCCACCCTTTCAAAATCTCAATCTTCTCATCCGCTTTTTTATATTCTGATCGTTTATCTTCTTCCTCGAAAAGACCAGCATTATTCTTCCATAAACCAAGTTGTCTTTTGCTCATCACCCCATGGATGAATTACATTTTTCTTTTTTTTTTGGGGCTTCATGATTGAGTATCAACTATCAGCTATCAATCTAATGCTTTTCTATGATTCCAACTGCTAGTAACTTGGTATTCTGAACCTTTATAGCTTTCTTTAATTCTTTCTTCCGTGTGTTTTTTTATTTTCTTGTGACCATAAATAGCTGGCTTTATGTTTTGTATGTTTTGTCAAGCCGCCATAGTCGAAAAAGTTATTAGAAACGATTCATTATTAGAGAAAAGACACAAGAATTTGGGCTGGAGAAATTGTCTGTGATTATGATAAGTGATAATCTGTTCTAATCCTTATCATAGATGGAGACACAGGAACTTGAAAGTATTCAACAATCTCTCGTATTCTCCTGAGTTTGATCGTTAGCGGGAGTGTACAGTATGGCAGTAGTATGGTTAGTGTTTGGAAAAAGGTACCGCAGGAAAACTTGCCCTCATGTTTTCTGAGTTTCTGGGGGTATTCCTTATTCTCCTGTTTGTATATGTATATTGTTTGAAAGTTTGAAAATATTAGCTTAGGAAAAAAGAAAAGTCTTCTTATTTCCACTCTGAATTGTTCCCTGCTGGATGGAGGAACAATGAAATTCATCATCTATCAGAGCATACTCTTGTCATAGAAATTATAGTTGAGATTAGCTGATTATTTGTTGATAATGTAACTAGCCATACTCTACTCTTGCAATCCTCACGATGGATGAGGATCTTGTTTCTGATGAATGCAATTGATTTAACCAGCAGAACGCCTGAAGTGATGAATAAGATGACAATTTGTTGAATCTAACACGTTCAATCTATGGAAAAAAAGCATCATAAAGAGTGTTATCATGCACTGCAGGAAAGCATATTTGTGAGGCTAAGATTTGGAGTGTAGTGTAATGCATTTTGTTTTTGCTTTGGCATTGCTTAGGGCCTGCTTAAGAGCCAAGACAGACGAAGAGTAAGAGGATTCACCTTTCAGGGGCAGCCGTTCATGCCCTTTTTCTTTGGAGAGTATGACAGTAAAGTACTATTCCTTTTCCACACCTGTAGAGTCAGTTTGAGCTCCTTCCCATTCCAACTTTGTGAAGTACTAAAATCACATCATAAGTTCTTGAGCTACTCTTCATCACTTCAGTCCTTAGCATTGGAAAAAATGGCTCCTCCAAGAAATAGACGCAAAACGGTCTGGTTTTTACACTTGCATCTTTTTTTTTTTCCTTCTGCATTTGTTTATTCAAAGATTGAATGTTGTGTGTTATATTGGTCTAGAGTTTACTGATACGAATTCAATCAGGAAGTTGATGTCGGTTTCATTAAATTAACAGAGAGTGAGCATCATACAGGGAGGCATGACAATAACATTTAGTTCAGCATAACGACATTCAACACGAATAGCCAAATATCTGAGGTTTGAGAAATGACAGCAATTGTTGCAGTCAAGCAATGGCAATGAAAGGGGGGACTACACATCCAAAAGAAGGCACAACAATATGATCAGCGTGGAACAAAATTTGCATTATAAACTAATTCAGAGCCAACTACAACGTCACAGAAGAACAGGCAATAGACATGAAACTTCCAATACAAGCCCGTACACATAAACCCCTGATTACAAGGCAAACTAATTTAATCCTTTTCTTTGTAATATAGGGAGAATTGGAATACAGGGATAACAACACTTTTTCCGTTTCCTATTTGGTCTGACCACGGACAAAAGGACATCTGGCCAAATTAAAACAGAGAGGTCGAAGCTGCAATCTTTGTGATTTCAAGAACACATCATTAAAAATAATGTTCATTACTACCAATGATGGTCATCTTTCATTTAAATAGGTTTTGGGAACATGTTCTGTTTCAAATATGTCTGGAATTTTCTATATTTCTGCCTGATTTCTTTCATAACTTTTCACAGAAAAGAAAAGCACATATAATAAGTAGAAAACACAAAACAGCATTTCAGCTAAAAAGAGAGATGCATTTCTACATTTCTGTGTAATTTCTTTCCATAAATTTTCATAACTATCATTAAGGGGAAACAAAATTTCGAATGAGTGATCAATACTTGAACTTTATAAACGTCCATGCACAAGTCTAACGTTGGCAAATTTTGGGACTTGCGCATAATATTTACTGTAGTTTCTTAGTTTGCCAGTGGGTGAATAATCTGCTATCATTCTAACCATCAAATGCTTCTAACCATCAAGGCAGATAGGCTGGAAAAGTTCTTTTGAATGCAGTCCAAGAACTAAGTAGAAATTGCTAAAACCAGTTACATTGTTCGAAAATTTAAAAAGAACAGAAAAAAAAAAGAAGGGAAATTGGAACTGCTTAGAATCAAAGAGAGAAGAGGGTCTTCTGAGAGCAGCACTAATCGGAGGGGACAGCGCTAATCCCTTCCCTTTTGTGTACTGATACAGATATGAGATGATTTACTTATATTGGCCGTCAAAGTCTTAGAGGCATAGAAAAGTAGAAATGCTTTAATTGTAACATATCCTGAGCTACAATGAAAATGATTTGAGGCCAAGATGTGTAAGATCCATGTCACATTATTGCTTCATGGAACAATACTGACGTACAAGGAGACAAGTTCACATAGAAGTAATTTTACAAATAGATGCAATGTAAAATGTCAGTTTGATGAACTAAGGTTGACCTTGCATGTTCCTATTCCATAATTTCATCTCTCCAACGTTCCCATCCACCAAGCGGGATCCTTTCTTGAATAGAAATTGGTGCCTTGGCAAGTGGGATCCTTTGTGCTCTGAGGCCTGTCTGAGATTTACAGATACAAAGAGCAATGGAAAAAGTATCATTGGGCACAACTTGTAGTCGACTGCAGAACAGTGAGAAAAAATATGTCGCCTGTTATAGAGCTAAGATACAACTTCAAGAAGGATGCAAGCACCTATCAGGGTTCAGCTAATCCACATCTTTCTGCTACTTTGAACTACAAGCAGTATGGAAGATATGGCAAATTGAGTTCCAAAAGAAGTAAAATAGCACCTCATTAACATGTCTACAAATTTGCTGAATTGGTTGGACAGTTTAACAGCACCAGACAGATAGGGAAGATCTCAGGCTTTGGCCATCCGAGGCAGAGAGCAAAAGGGAATTCCATCCCGGATGTTTTCATCTGATCTGACTGAAACAGGATCTGGTTCAACAAGGGATCATAGGACTTCATTACAAATGATAGTAAGAGTGAGCTATCAAGGTTAATGTTGATCTCTGAGTGCAAAATCACTGCAAAACACAAAAACTCAAACTTAAGAGACTCGAGACAGCACTCGAGAAATTGTATAGTACGGTTAGTTGAGATTGATATGGAACCATGCATGGCTTATTAGTGGTAAAGGTTATGAAATATTTTGCTTATTAATGATAAGATTTACCTATAACTTTCAATCGTGATGAAGAGGAAGAAAGGGCCGACCCTGCGTCCAACTTGGCAGACCTGCTCTGTTGTTGCTCCAATTATCAGTTGATATACTTTCAAGGCAAGAAAGACTTTCAAAAGTAAAGTCACTGCAAAACAGAAAACTCAGACTCAGGACTTCGCATAGCAAATCATGAGGCAAACAGGAAATTGCATGACATTTTTGTTTAGTCAATTATTAAGAAAGCTAAATCAGTATCCGTTTGTTTTTGTTGTTCTTTCCTAACCTAAATCGGTAAGAAGATATCAATCTTTCTGGTCAGTCTACAAGTACCAGAAGTATCATAGAAACTATATTAGTATTTGTTCAAAACACTGAAAAAAGAAAATTTCTATGACAATAGCGATAATGAGTGTCACCCACAAGCATGAAAGGCAGAGAGCCCCACAACTACCGTGAAGGCAGACTCTTTGAGACTGCGAGATGCGACAGGTTGAGCTAATTACAACTATTTTACTCTTAAAATCTCATATTATTGCATTTGATCTTAAACTTCAGTAGAGGATAGTCTACCAAGTCTTTGCCGCTTGAAAAACGTCTTAACCCAACAATAAGTAATGGAAGAAGATTGTTGGTATTCTAAATTATCAGACCACCAATCCCACAACCAAGGGCAGTGAGAGTAACTCGATTGACCATTGGATTTAGGTCAAGAGATCATAGCTGAAGAAAGCAGAATCCCATTATTTAAGAGACATAATAAAAATACCAATAATCAGATAATTTGGAGCAAGATGATAAATACATTTCCAAGAGATGGAAGTTCAGAGCAAGCATTTCCATCCCGGTAGAATCTCAAGTTTAAAGAGAATTAGCTCCTTTCAGCAATCATGATATACAACTGGAAGTAGCAGACATATGAGATGAGCAAAAGTAAACTGCTATTTTTTATTTAAAACAAAGAATTTTTTACTGTGGATGTAAATACAAAAATTTTTCAGCTTTGACATCATGTTTAACTGTCCACATCAAATAATCTCCTCTTGAACATCTGTATTCCATAATTGAATTTAATATATGGTTAGCGATATTGTTTTCTTCCCGGAACAACGCTTGTTGAGTTTTTCTGAATCAGACTGAAAAGGCCAAGAAAAGTTCAACAAAGTAGACAACTGACCTTACTGTTACATTACTAGACAACATCTTGGAAGCAGACGTTTTAAACCTTCAGATATTTTGCAACAAAATCATCTTATTGTACAATTTCTATCACCTGATATTGGATAGATTTAAAAGAATTTAGTAATGATTTTACTGGAGTATATTGTCCTGAAGAAACAAAAAACTAGAAATTGACCCCTAAAATCTTTGTCCATCATTGCCTATCTATAATTTTCTGTGTTCCATCAAACTTTGATTTAACAATCTATTTCATGAATGTAAACGCATTTTCATTCTTTTTTAGCAAATTGATAACCAAATGAACTTTTAGAGTACTTAGTTGGATGAGGAGCTTTTAGATTGAAAATCTCAGGAAGGCATGTTTGCCTGCATTACAATAAAGATAGAAGAGCAAATTCCATGTCATTTTTCACTAGGAATCTTACAGAAAGAAAGGTTTTTTTTTTTTTTTGTTACCTTTGTTCTAAAACTAATGAGCAGGAAATAAGACTTGATACTAAGTACATCTACTAATCCATTTACAACAAATTCGCTAACCTTACAGTACTTCTTGAAAATTTGCAAGCTCCTCATTGTCAATCTGTTTCTTTGATACAAGCTCTATCGCCAACCATACCCCCCATGATCATTAGCAGAAATTCATGGTAATGATGGCTTTTGATCATGAAAGGCATTACATAAGCTGGGGAAAGAAATTCTGGTGGACAATTTGTAGAGGCCAGCTCACACAGATAGACCATTTTATCAGGTTTTACACACTAGGAAGAAAGAAAAGTGTGCCTGTAGTGTGTCATCCTAATCATTTCTGCCCAATTGAAACAGGATTTGATTCAACAAAGTTTTCAAAAGTTACAAGCTGTGTAATTCAATCAGTAAGTAAATGCAATTGTAGATTCTAGTTCACATTTGAGCCTGAAATCATTGCAGAACAGAAAACTCGAGTTGAGACAATATGTGAACAAGAAAGCTAATCAGAAAGTTCAGAAAATTCAGCAATAATTTTGTTCTGTCATTCCTACAAAAGGCTAAAATATGCCTTGTTTGTTATGAAACTAAATAGATAAGCAAGTACTAAGTCGTGTTTACAATTACAGTAGTTTGGTTCCAACCACAAAGCAAGTAATTACAACTCATAAAATGAAAATAATAATGGACAATTTGTAGTGTGGGCAAAGCATTTCACATTGAGGCATTGAGAAACAATAGAGCTGTGGGCCACTGAGGCACAATAGAGATCCACATTTAATTGCTACCAAAACACCAGTTAGTTCAAACCTCTAACTCTGAGCAGTATGCTGGAGATGACAATTTGAGTTCTAAAACATGTAAATCAGCTCCTCATTATCATGACTACACATTACTGAATCATTCGATAGTTTAAAAGAACCATACCCCAATAGATATCTCAGACTTTGACCATCTGAGGCACAGGGGAAAAGAGAATGCCATCCTAGATGTTGCTATTCAGCCGAAGCAGGATCTTGTTCAGCAACGAATTGTAGGACTTTCAAAAAGTAAAGACAGTAGGTAAGAGCCATCGCTGAGGTTCCCTGTTTGTGCCCAAAATAACTGCAAAGCACAAAAACTCAAACTGAAGACGGCGAATAGCATAGAATAAAGCTAGTGGAAATTTTCAGATAATTGTAGCTTTTCTGTCATTGTAACTAAAGCCCCAAAAGGAGAAACTTACCTTAAAAAAGAAGCAACCAACAATCATAAAAGCAGAGAGAGCTTAAAAGCCTTTATCAGTAGCAATGCTTGTCGCAACAAGCAGGTGGATTCATTAACAGTAGCAAGTCGCAACAAGCAGACTTGACCAACTACCGGACTGCTTTAAAACTTTGCGCTTAGAGTTAAATGTTGGAAGATACTCCACCAAGTTTTGTGCAACTTCATTGCTCAAACAGTACACACCTTCCTTGGCTACCTCAAAAATATGAAAGTTCATTTATGACTGATAAAGCAATTACTAGTCAAATAGTTCAGATAAATATGCAAGTTCATTATCAAGAGGTAAAAGTTTTGTCCCCTTAGAATTACAATTTTAAACAGAGTGAGATGACTTTAGCAATAATAACTTGAAATCCACAGAAGCAGAGCACGTAAAATAAACAAAAATAGACTATTTGTAGGCTATGCAGGCCAAAAGTTGATAGGCTATGCTAGTTGTTCTAAACGTTGATAGGCTATTTGTAGGAAATGCAGGCCAAAAAGTTATTGCGGTCTAGCCATATAGACGGTGCTGAAGAAGCTTCAAAATTCTAACCTCTGTTCGTGAAGCTATTCTTCTATCAATCCTACAAAAACAAAGCATAGAACAGAATATGAACAGAGGTATAGTAAAACATCAAAGCACGAAACAGAACATATGCTTGGGGTCATTCTAATTGATAGTTTCAAGAGTATTACTATTATGTTGTAAGGAGTAAATGAAGAGCACCAATATTTTGGACCTGATAAGAAATGCTAATGCCGCAGCTTTGAAACATAATAAATAGGACGATAAAAAGGGAGAAGAGAAAATTGTGAAAATAACCACGAAAGGGAGACTTTTTTAGGTTTTCTCACGAGAAGGTTAATCAGAGGGGGAGGTGAAGAGAAGGTGAGATTGATTGTAAAGCAAATTAAGAGCGTGGTTATTGAAGGCAATCTTACATGATTCAATTTGATCCGAAGATGAAAGTTGGTTAGTAATCGGTTATGCGTAGGTCTTGAATGTGAGAAACTTTGGACCACTGGGAGTCGGGGCCGCTGCTCTCAGGAGTGCATCTTTCTTCTAACAGAGGAGAACCAAAAACCACCAGAGATTTTAGTTTGGTGAGACTTCTCATGGCATCCGCAGAGGGTAGATGTCCAAGCTCTTTGAAACCAAATAACTGCAGCTCTTCAAGAGCAGCGAAGTTTCCGAACCAATCTGGCAGAGCTTTTATACCTCCAAAGTCGTATAGCGATAGTGACGTCAGAGCGGTCAAGCATTGGATCTGAGGTGGCAGGGACTCCATGTGTGGCAACCCACATAAGTATAATCCACGGAGTGCGGATGACGAAGAGGAGGATATCAATTCAGACCAATCAAACTCATCGTAAATTGAAGAATTTTCATGATCATCACCATCATCTGAGAAGGGACCAATTGTAAGCTCCCTTAAGCTGGTTAGGAAACCAAATCCTTTGGGCGTCATGCTTGTTTTCAGTTTGGAACACTTGACTAATTCCAGCTCCAAGAGAGAAGGCGTTTGTTGCAAATTGAGCGGAAAGGAGATAAGATTGTCGCAATAAGCCACCCGAAGCTTCTGGAGAGAGGTACAAGAGTGTAGCATGTCACCTGGCAGATTCGTCAACCCATCGAAATGAGCAATCACTAGCTCTTTAAGAGACGCAAAGTTTTGCAGGGGAAGGAGTTCTCTGCATCTGTCGCAGCTATAAAATCGCAAACGCGCTAACTCGGGGAGTGTTGTTGCTGACTCGGGGAGTGTTGTTGTTGTTGTTGGCAAATCCATTAACCATCGAGGAAATTGATCGCCCATAAAATTCCAAATTACCAACTCCTCCAAATTTGGGTGGGGTCGAAGACCATCTAACACATCTTCGTCGTTGTAGTTGTCGCCTTCTTGATCACTAGCCCACCTAAGTTCCAGCCTAAATAGATTTGCCTTTTCAGATAGTTTTGCTTCCTCAGCTCCTTCTTTACCCTTTACTAGTTCCAGATTGCTTATCCTCAAATTGCCTTTGAGATTCTTCAAGCTTCCAAGCTCTCCAATTCGTCGACCCTTCTCTCGACCCACGTTAAAGAACTCTAGTGTCTGAAGGCAAGTCAGTCGTCCCATCTCTAGCGGCATTTGAAATGCTTCATCAAGGGTGTAAAAGTGGAGATGTCTCAAGCTAATCAAATCGCACGTTCCCTTCAGAAGAACCTTAAGAGCGAAACTATTTAGCCTCAGTGTCTGCAAATTATAAAGTTTGCAAACAGATTCCGGCAAAGTTTCACTTGTGGAATCCTCAAAGTTAATGTACCTCAAGTGTATCAGTTTGCCAATTGAGATTGGCAGATTCTGATTTTCTTCACCGGACAAATTCAGAATGTGCAGATTCTTCAACTTCTTTAGCATATCATCAGATAAGCTACCCTGACTCAGAAACAATGTATGAAGCAAATTTGATCGACTCTTAAGAAGATTTTTTGCGCCTTCTCCAAATGAGTCTATTACAAGACAACGAACCTGATTACTATTGTCTCCTGAACCAGTCTCCGAATTAATGAATCTAGTAGACTTTGACATTATTGATTTTGCGACGTCGTGCACCATATCATGCATTTTATGCCACCTTGTTCTCCCATATTTTCTTGCTTCTTCAAACAACGAACTCTGCAATAAAATTTCCAAGTAATATTCTCCAATTTCCTCCATTGTTTTGTTCTCAAGACCTGCATGGAGGAAACCTTCTGCCATCCAAAGTTCGATTAGCATATCTCCTTCCATCGCAGTATCCTGGGGAAAAATAGAACAATATGCAAAACATTTTTTGATGGCTGGTGATGGTAGATTATCAAAACTCAACCGAAGTATTTGCATGACACCATCTTCATCTCCGCTCAAATTTGAAAGCTCATTCATCAAAATCAATTTCCACTCCTCTTTTCTCTTCATGCGCAATAAACCTCCCATTACACTTGCAGCTAGCGGTAGGCCACCACATTTTTTTATAATTTCCTTTTTCATGACTTGTAATTGTTCGGGAATTTCTACGCCTGCATTGGCTTTCTCTGTTAGGATAGACCAACAATCATCATCAGATAGCTTTCCTAACACATAAGGATCATGTGTGGCCACAATGGATGCAGTTCGTTGTTTGCGAGTTGTCACAACACACCAATTTCCATTAGTTGCATTCAGCCCCCGTAACGAATGTAAGAAATCATCCCACAAGATTGGGCTTTCGGTCCAGACATCATCAAGAACAAGAAGATATTTTTTTCCCACAAGTTGTTCCCGAATTTTCCGGACGATGACATCCCTGCTGGTCATTCCATCATTTCTTTCCGTGAGTGATTCTAAAATCATTTTCAAAAGCCTTGTCACTTCAAAATTGTCGGACACACAAACCCAAATTTTTTTTTCAAAATGGCTATCAACTTGCTTCTTGTTGTATATCGATTTAGCCAAAGTTGTTTTGCCTAAACCTCCCATACCAGTTATGGGAAGAACAGAAACAACCTTCTCAGACAGGCTCAACAAAATCTTCACTATCTCTGATTCATCATCGGCTCTTCCAACCATTGGAGCAAGAACAGAGTCAGTCTGCCGATTTCTTGTGTCTCCAACAGCAGCAGGGAGGGCAGCAGGCACGACTGCCCTACTGAACAGTAGCAATCCGTTGGCTTCTTGATAGATGCCATTCAACTTCAGTTTGACGTCCCTGACCTTAGAAGCCATTCTCCAGCGAAAAGCAAGATTAATGTTAGAGAAGGAGAAGAAGCAGCATACCTTTCGCTTGGGTCGGTTTCGGGACTCCACCTGGTGACGAAGAGATTCATAGTGGAGCTCATCCAACACATTCTGAGCATCATAAGCCACCTCCTCGAGACACTTCAACCATCGTTTCACTCCGCTGCTTTGGTTTTGCTTTTCCTCAGCATCAGCCAGGACATCTTTGATAAAGCCAAGAGAAAGTGTCATGCTGGCCACATCCTTCTTGAACCCAACTAGCAAACCAATCCTATCAGAGGCAAGAGATACTGCCGTCTCCAAGGCAACCTGAATTGCGGCCTGAACAGTGGCACTGATAACAGGGTCGGCCATTTCTTCTTCCGTGGATATACAGCTCTGAGATCAAGATTTTTTTTTTTTTTTATGGAAGGTTTTTTGCAGCGAGGAACTGGTAATCTTATCTAGGCTAGTATAATTGGTTATGAAGAAAGGAGCATTAATAATTATTGCGCGTAGACGTGGAGTTCTTCTCTGACAAATTTGTAAGCTTTTGCATTGGCATGTTTACAGAGTAACTTTCTCAATTACTAATCAGGCTTGAGATTTTAAATTAACATGATCGGTATGAAGTCCCTAGCCTTCTACTCCTCTCTTTAAAATCTGCTAGCCTTTAATTCAGATCGGTATTAATCTTTTTTGTTATATTATTTCTTATTACTTTCTTTTTCTAGTTGATTTTGGATCCTTTTTTTTATTACTTTTCTAACTTTTTCTCCTCAAACTGGATGTCTCTCAATCTCTCTTGTGGGAATTCAACGTACTTTAAGATGAATTTCATTTTGCCATTATCAAGTTTGCACTTAAAGAATTAAAGTTCATATGGGGTTAAGTCATATACTAATTTCATATCTTTGACATTTATTTATCACAAACCTCAATTCTTCTTTCCTCTGGTGTTTCTTTTCTATATCAACTCTCCTTAATCCCATTATTGTCTCGCAGCATAATCCAGAAAGTGTCAGTATATAAGAATTCTTTTGAAGTAATTATTACTAATATATAGTTCCCGTTTCTTGTGGAATGTTCTGAATCTTTCCTAAAGCAACATTTTCCAATTTGAGTTCCAGAATTGTTGCAAAATTTTTGGTTTGCGCATCACTTTTGCACAGGGGCGGAGCCAGAAAAAAATCTTAGTGGGGGCAAAAGTAACACTAAAATTTTTTATCTACTCATTTTCTAATTTTTTAAGCAAAAAAAAAAGTCTCATGCATCAAATCACCATTTCACAAGTTAAAATATTTATCAAATAACCCATTTATTAGTTATTACATTAACTAATCAATTTTCAAATTTCTTTAAAATAGTAATAGTCTCAAGCTCTAGAAATATATTTGCAAACAAATTTAAAATAATAATAATAATAAGTAATTGTTTAGAACCTGATTTTGATGGTCTCTTAAAGTTGGTGAAAAGAGCTGCAAAATGTGGCGGATCCAAGTTCTAGAAGATCAATTGATTCTGGTGCAATCTCTAAATAGGATAAAGTGATCAAAAGAAAGAGTAACAAACTTTGGTTGTGGAAAAAAAAATGGCTCTCGTATGTATGTTGGGGAGTGGGGACAACCAAGAGCCAGATGAGCAAAGGGAAATTGGGGAGTGGGGACAAAGGAAGTAAATGATAATTGGATAAAGTGATAAAAAGAAAAAGTAGTTGGCTTGGGTGTGGAAGAAGAGGAGCCAGTTGTGAAGGGAAATAGGGGACCACAGGAGTAAAGGGAACTTGGGGAGTGGGGACCAAAAGGAATGACTGATATAATTGGTACTTGGCCCTGTTGGTGGGAAAATGGGAACTAGAGGAGGAAAGTGAATGATATAAATTTTGTGACCCATTCTTTCACATTTTTTCTAAAAAAAATTCTGGGGGCACCTTTAAAATTATGTCAAAATTGTAGATGTATTATAGGAATCACTTTAAATCCGCCCCTGCTTTTGCACGTAAGAATTCAAAATTTCACCACCAATTAAATAGTTTTCCTCGCAACTTGTCCCGTTTGCATTGCTATTTTTAGAAATTTTTGTAAAAAAATATACTATAGAGATTTGATGTATATGAGGTAAAAAGGCTATTGAGAAATATATTTACGAAAAAATTGCTAGTTTCCTTTTCTCTTCTATTTCATCTTTTTCTGATTGAAAGCTGGCTGGCCTTTGGTTGTGGAAAATATCTCAATGGTTTGTCGGAGTTGTGGTTTGACCCAAGACTGAACCCCGCCAAAAAGGAAAAAACTATGTTCGACGATCAAAATGTAAAGGAGAAAGAAGAAATGACAACCATAGCTGGTGACTTTGCAACATTAATTACCTCAGCCATTAATCCTTGGGAAATAGACTAAAAACGTTATTTTGTGGGGGAAAAACTTAAAAAATAATCCGTGGTTCACTTATCAAAAACATGAAGTGGAGTTAGCAATCAGGTTTAGCATGTAACGACATAATTGGCCAATGGTTGGGTGCTTTCTTAGCTTTTACACTTGTGAAATCGCCAAAATATTCACTCGTAATTCCACAAGCTTTCTAGCACTTTAAAAATTCAAACATTTTGTGTCAAAATGTCTTGTTTATGTACAGTATACAAAATTTAAGTGGTGAAAGTTTAAGGAGTTTCTTTATTACTATTTTTGTTTTGAGTACGATATACAATCAGTTGGAGTTAGAAGTGAAATAGACCTTTAGCTCACACTATGATTATAAACTTTGACTGAATTGGATGTTTTGGGAAGGGGAAAATGAGCATGTTCTTGTGGATTTCAATTTTTACAATTGAGTAGTTTGCCTATGATATGATCACAAGTTTAACTTAAATGGAGTTGCGATAATAGAAGATTCTCGAAAGAAGACTTCAAAAAGTGGAAATTGAAAATGAGTGGAAATTAATGGGGAATTAACCAGTTATTTGGATACTTGAATTATTTGTTCTTATGGTTCCTCTCTCTTCTAAAAATATGGTTAATTTGTATAATTTTTTTTATCCATATGGATTAACTTAGTGTTAAAAAAATTTTAACTGTTAGCTGATAGATTTATCAATATTGCTGGAAATTAAATATTTGTTGATGTAGAAAACAAATCGCAAAATATATTGTGCTCAGTTAAGTAGGAAAATGTAACTAGGTTTATGGTTATTATAAAAATTGTAATTATCTAAAAAATATCCGTACACAAAAAGGTAGAATATCTATTGATTTTTTTATATGTGTTATAATATTTGATGAATATTATTATATTATAGTAAAACTATGTAAAGAAGTTTTTAAAAATTAGTATGATAGTTAAGTATAATTATTCCATTAATTTTCTAAAATTAATATGAATGAACTTGTAAGATCATCATTAATTTTTATTTAAATTAGTCATGCCTGCACGAATTCATAATAAAATAAAAAAATAAACCATGCCAAGGCACATGCAAGATGCTAGTTCAAATTAATGTTGTACACGTATAGGAGTCACAAAACGGTTTGGTGCACTAGCTAGCAGACGAAAGGGGACATCTAAAGTATTAGGACAAGTTTTACATCTAGCAGACGAATTCAATCGATTGTGATGTATTTGCTGATTTTCTTGAAATAAAAAATGCATAGGAAAAAAATATTAGAGAGTTATCCTTTGCATGGAGTTCATATCGTTGCTACTTTTGCTACGCTTGTCTGATGGATGTCTGCTTGAAATATGCGTTCCACATATTTTGTATGTTTATCCTAATATAAATCATCTTATATTGTGCTAATATTTCAAACAGGTTTTGGAATTTTGCTGCAAGTTTATCTTCTCAAAAGATAAGTCAATCGATTTGATTTGCGTCAAAAAAATGTGGGTAGAGTTTTGGAATTTATGCTTTGCCTGAGGCCTAGAGCCCTTTCTGATTGACAGATCTTAAATGCTGGGGCCTTCAGTTGTGGTAAAAAACTCTCTGACCCAAGACAAGACGCACAAGAAACTGTTGTCTTTAAGGATAAAAATGTACCAAAAAAATAATAATAAATAAAAGGAAAATAACAATCTACTTTGGCTACATTGTTCAGCCAATTTCCAGTTCTTTAGAAATAAAATAGACGTTCAACGTCCATTTTCTAATTCGATTCAGTACTGTGACCCCTTTTTTCAATTTTCTATAATTTGAGGTATATATATATATATATATATATATATATATATGTATATGCCAATCATATCCCAATGCCATTTGGTGGCTTTGCTTGGTCACTATTCAACGCTTCCCTATATTTGTTGTATTGTTCCCGTCATTCAGAAACAAGGGAACAAATCCTTATACTACTGTATAAGAATAAATTGTGGTCAAATGGATTTGAATTTCAGCCGCATGAATATGGACTTTTTGAAAATATCAAATATTGTGCAATTTTTTAAAATCTTTTGGTATAATTGAGGCAGCATGTGTTTAGATAGATTTATTGAAATACAGCCATTTTGGTACATTTAAAACTTTGATTTATGGGGACATTCAGGTATTTCTGGAATATGAAATTATTTTACAATCATTTTTGCATCGAGTACAACTCATATAAACTTATGTGTTGATATAATTACTGAAATGATATTATTGACATATTTAATTAAAGTGTGATTTTTGTTGTACAATTAATACAAAGATATATTAACACATTGTGCAATTAAAACGTTGCTATAATTAGCCATTAGAGGATATTTCTTTGTTTAAAACAATTTATATCTGCTCTTGGACAATTTTCAACTAACATCTGTAGGGATTTTTTAAGAATGGTAAAATTGTAAAAGTATTGATAAAGTAAAATATACAAGTGTGTGTTGCAATTAGAATATACTATTATTAGTTTTGTCATATTTAATGACTATTTCTTTTCGAAATGTATAATTATTTATCCAATAAAAAATTCTCTCTAATCACAAGCACCAAACATCAGCACGATGCACTGGCACTCCCTAGTAATCACAACAAAGAGAGGAAGGCAACCAAATTGATCAAGAAAGTGGAGCGATTGATTACAAGGGTGAATTCTTAGTTTATGATGGAAAAAAAAAAGAATTCTACAACGAGGGCGGTTCTTGGAGTGTGTTCTGCAAATAGGGGTCTTCGCATTCCGGAAATGCGAGCTCACTGAGCTCACATTCCCAGAATGCGAGCTCGTGAGCTCGCATTCCGCCAATGCGAGCTCGAATTGGAGCTCGAATGCGAGCTCACTGAGAGCCAAGACAAGGAGGAAATCATGCAAATATTGAAAATACTTCATGCAAGATGGTTTGGCAGCAGGCTCGCGGCACAGCTTTTATGGTGTCTGATGTAGTTTCCTTTCATCCGACTGCAACTAATGACTTGAACAGTCAACATTTAGACTATAGTAATAAAAATTCCAAACATTTTCCATCTTTTAGCCGCAAAAATCCTTATGTTTAAGCACAAAACAAATTAGATGAAAGGATCATGCGAGCATCAAAGAACAGTTTTTTCTTCAACAACAATGCTTCTGCAAATTTCGATGCAGAAAAATCATGCAAAGCTTCAAACAAAACTAGTGAACCTATCACCCCAAATACCCCTTAACACTGAACACTTCACATGAAACCAGGGTTATTGATTATAAACACAAATCTCAGCAGATCAGAAC